AATTTTGAATCTAATGCAAATGTGTTCAATAAAATTTCAACTTCTCCAGATCATTCCACGTCTATTTTTCATGCGTTTTAGGGGCAATTTATACTGAAAATAAAAAGATTTAAATTTGATGAGCTTCGCACTACCTTTAAAATCTCCCATCATTTCAATCACTGAACTCCATGATGGGAGGTTTAAGAATTTCGGTACACCCTATCATTTATTTCACTCAGTCACTGCTGGAAGATTTGGATGGTTGCACTGGAATGATGACGAGAGATAATTGGTTCCTTGAGTGTATTCCGAAAATTGGTTGAAATTAAGTACGGACCTTAGGATTCGAGACCTTATGTTTTTTTTTTTTTTTTTTGTTTCTACTGAAAATTAATAGATACATGGAGTGAAGCCGAAACTAGCAACTCACTGTGTGCAATGTCGGCTTCCGATTTGCGGGAGCCGAACTCTGGAACAAATAAGAATTGTAGCGTAATAATTATAGTATTAATAAAGCTCAAATAAAAACTTCAGTGACTTTTTTTCACCATCGTTAATTTTTTGCTCCAACTCTGCTGTATTTACGTTTCTATTGACTGTCGTCGTTACAGTAATCGGAAAATTACCTATAGCAATCTCCCCAAAGCGCTTTAATTTCGTTATGAGTCAGAATTGTCGCTTAATTTTTATCTTACGATCAAAACTGATTGATTGAGAGAATATTTATTACCATTACCCAGCAAGATGAGTTAAGCGATGCAGGTATACGTGTTCCACGAAATTATCTGTCAGACATCCAATGAGAGTAACTTGGATCTTTCAACACAATCGTATATTTGAAGCGAGCATCGATTCAGCTGATCTATATAGAGATTGATGAATCCCGTCAATACTTATGGCATTGGGCTTGCCAGTCTTAAAAGGCTAACAGAAATTGAATAAATATATACTTCAGTAAATAATTATTGATCACTTCTAAGTCTTTGCCGATGATGGTTGCAATGAATGTCGGTTGACAAAAAATTCTGTAATGGAGTTACCCCGCAGTTGTCGATACTGAAAGGCTAAAGATTATGGAGATTCTGTTATCGACGTCGGCGTGGAGATCTAATTGATTTATACAAGTATATCCATGGTTTATACAAGGTCCCAGATCGATTACTAGAATTTGAAACGAGAGACAACACCGGAGGGCCAAGGCTAAAAACTAAACACTGCGCATGCGTTTCAACTCATCCTCGCGGCAACGCTTCTCGGTTCGACACCGTCGATACTGTAAGGTAATCATCGATACTGTAAGGCTAAAATAATTAAAAGAGTAAAATACTACCTAGTACCTATGAAATAAGTTTAGTTCTGAATACGAATAAAATGAACACAAATAAATGAATAAAGACAATTAAAGAGCCTAATAATTGCATGTGTATCAGCACTTAGAATAGTATAGTATCTTCGGCATTAAAGAGTAGGCCTGTATAGGCCTGTCGCCGATTCTTGTGCTTTTCTTCACTAGACAGGCCTTTTGATCAGATCTTTTCAACGGACGGTAGATTTAAAATCGATTCTAGATATCAGTTGTTCCGTAGGGTACGAGGCATTTTAAGACTAAACATATGCTCTTGCATGGCCTTGTCTAGTCTGTTCTTGAACGCGTTCATACTCGGAGCGTCAACAATATCTTCAGGGAGGCTGTTCCACATGTCAGTGACTCGAAGCGAGAAGAAATGTTGTCGCGTGGATAAGTTGCACCGCAGTTTTTTTAGTTTATACTTGACACTTGAGCTAATTGGAATGTGGCAAAGATGAAATGCAAGAGAAATCAGCAAAAGGTTAAAGGAAAGTTCTCTATAAGAAAAAAAGAAAAAGATAGGAGGACGCTTGACGCCGAAAAGTAGAAAAATGTAAAGAAACGTTGGTCACGGCTAATGAAACGTATACCACAGCACATACGAGAGACCAAGCGCTTACCATGAAGCAGAAAATTCAGTGACTAATAATTTGAAATTATTAACCACGTAATTTTGTCTAGAGTACCACAGAATAAAGTGGTACCGAGTAAAATTAAATAAATAAATAGCAACATTCACATGAACAAGAAGGCGGTGAAATAACGAAAACGAAGAAGTGATAGAGCTCGAGGATCTTCTGCTGCCTTGCTTAAACATGAAAATTAAACTAATTAACTTGGTAATGCTGCTCGTGCGAAGGCTGATTAATAACTGAATGAAAATTTAGAGATAACACTGTCAATATATTTTTATTGAATGCTCCTTTGATAACTGAATAAACCATGACTAAATCGAATACCTACTCGAACTACGAAGCTGAATGCAACACCCTAAATACAATGCAAACGAAAAGAAACAACTAAAATTGATATAGATAAAAAAATTAGAAATAGCTATAAAAATTTCCCACACCTCTGTTTGATCTGAGCAACGGCCACCAACAAGGAAGGGAAGTAAGTTTATTTCCGTGAGAAGAATAAGCTGCTGCTCTACTTTATTACTACTTCTTCGTCTAGTAGCTACTTCAAACTATCGTCAGTCATGAAAAGCTCCGGTCAAATGACACGAGTTTAGATCTATGAACAAGGCACGAAAAGGAAAGAATCGGCGACAGGCCACATCAGGCCTACACTTCAGCGCCGCCATCACTATGTTATGTTATGTTATTACTGACGAACGCCTGGCCGAGTGCGAGGACGGTTTCCTGAACGCGGTCTCACACATCACGTTTTTGCTCGAGTAATTCATATCATAGAACTGGATTACAAGCATTGTCACATAATTTTTCTGCCAAGTGTTATTGCACATAGCATGCTAGTTATTGAACTGCAAAACGCTTAATAAAGTAACATTGCGAACAAAGAAGGATTGCTTTAACTGTGACGTTTCTAAGCAACATAAAAATTGTGCTAAATGCTTCACCGTTTAAATTTTCAGTTCATTTTTTTAAGAATGGTCAGTATTATTTCCGTTACTCTCGCTGAAAGTTGAGTCAGCCCTGTATCTCAGTGAAAGGTGAGTACATAAAGGCCCGCTATACATTTGTAATTCAGGCTAAACAAATTTTGCCTCCCGATTCCAATGTCCAAGCTAAGAAAATTGATGAGATTTCTAATAATGAATCTCAATTATATCACTGGAAGTTGCAACAGAACCGCCCAAATTGAGAGAACTTATTTTTGCTCATGTTGCCCATAGATTTTTGCGATGTTTAAGATCTTTGTTCAACAAATAAAGAAGCTTAGTCCAACAACTAGCGTTCTACGTAAAATAGTATACTTCGTTTCGCATTATATCTTGGAGAGCTTCACATTCATGAACTGGCTCCTTTTAAATTCGAATTAATTTAATATTACCGCATCACTAAAGGCCTTAGTTGACAGTGCCAGACAACGGTATTTTCCTACAATTATTTTATTGAATTCGATTGAATTTCATCAAACCAAGCTTCATATTCTCTGTGGGTTAATCCTTCATAGTTATGGCTCATAATGCGTTTTATAAGAAAATTTCAAACCATCTTGTGACGTCATTCATCGAAAACTCATTTTACACTACAATCAGTGCATAACTACTCCAGTGCTAGCTTGGTAGTGTCAGATGATTAACTGCTTGGTAGGCACTTGGAGGTTTCTCTCAACTTTGCGAATATTGTTCAATTAAGCATCACTCAGTCCATGCTGAATCATTTAAAGCTGTGTTCACGACACACGCCGAGAAAGGGCATCTATTCTGACGAGAAAGGGCATCTATGGATCTTGTTTCAAATTCTAGTGATCCATCTGACACCTTGTATAAGCGATTGAGTATACATGTACGCTTCAATGAGGTCACCATGCACTCACGCAGACTTCGATAACAGAAGCTTCATAATCTTTAATCATTTTTCATAACACGTGCACTTTAAGCCTGGAATTATCTTTGATGCATGTCTTTGTGCACTCTCAACTAAATTTTTGTCCTTTTCAAGTTTCGGTGACAAACAGCGTTTTCAAACCCTAGGTTCGACAACGACAAACAACTTCATCGTTTCTGCAGGTAGGAACTCGTATGAGCGTCTAATCATTCCAAGAAGTTTATTGTATTTACTAGCTTACGTTTCAGTTTGCCTAGAAAATTTCAGCTCCTTGTCGACGTAAACTCCAAAATCTTTTTCCAAGCCAGACTGTTCAATCATTACTTTCTCGCTGCACCTATGTCATTACACACTGTCATCTTGCTGTTCATTGTTCTTCCCAAGGTGAAGAATTTTACACTTATACTTAGAACGCAGCTGCCACGGATCAGCCCAGTTAACTAAACTATCAAAATCGTCTTCCAATTGCGCTTTATTTGACGCATCCTTAACTGTATTACGAGCTATTTTGTCATCGGCATGCACAGACCAGAGCACGCGGCGCTTGACACTACTTCAGGCATATCGTTTATAGAAGCAACGAACAAAACAAGCCCAAGACATACAATAATGGCTGCACTATATAAGCTTTATGAGCGCAGACCTTACAACGGACAAATAATTTATTGTTGAGTAACATGGAAGATCAATTGAGTCTAATCGAGCACAGCCTTAAAACCTAGCAGGAAATTATTTTTTTCGGTCATGAGTTGATTATCCTACACATTAATGATTACATACTAGCAGTTCGCATATAGAATCTTGCAGATTGTTCACGCATTTAACTGAACCGGATATATGATTTTAGTGGTTAATTGTCATCGTGCTTTCAGAGTTTCTAAACTTCGTATTCTTCTTTCCAAAAAAGTATTGATCATAATTCGAATTTGAAGAGACACCCACCGAACTTATTAAATGAGGTAAATTGTTAATTTATATACACACGTGATGTACATGCATTTAATAATAGATCTCCCATTCGTTCAGGAAATAAAATGAAACATAAATTGGAATGAAATCGAAATTCTTAATGTGTAGTCATACAAAGAACTAGAGCATAATTTGGAACCTTGAAACAAGCAGACGACTGTTCATTTCTTACGTGTCGCCTGTGATGGTGCGAGATGTAATTGGCGCGAATGATTTTTAGAAGTTGACAAGTTTGAATCTCATTTGTATAACATTTTATAGCTATTATCTTATTATCGCGCGTGCAGCGCACGTGCGATAATCTTCCGTAAAGTTTGAGATCCTGAGATTGGTCAATTATTTAAACATGGCAGTTGACGAATTCGGTGACTCGGCACTGGTTTTACCTGGGGGAATCGATACATACTTCTTCTTGCACCTTGTTTATGATATCGGAGAAAAAAACATTGGAGATAAAGGGAGACCGTCACAAGTATATTTTGACGAAGAAGCTGGCATTCTTTATTATTTGGAAGATTTCTTGCTACGGGTCTTCTTGCTCATGAGAAATAAAGAGTTCAAGGTCGTCAAGTACGAGCCAAATGTGATCTGGTAAGTTGCTGTTCAAAATCTGAAAGGGTGACTTATACATAATTTTTTTATAAGATTGTGTGTACTTTGCCATTTTTGCACGTGGGAACATTCTAAACTCGTGTTCAAAGTGTTACTAGTGTCTTTATGGCAAGCAATGTTATGTTCATTTATTATTGACTATCGTCAGTGACAGAGTCGCCACTTACTGACTTAGCCTAGCCGATACTGCAGATAACTCGGCGCTCATCGATAAAAACCATATAATTCTGGTCTGAACTAGGGTTTTTAGAGTTCCCTCAACTTATATTAGCTCCAAATCTGTATGGATTTTGATAGAATATTTTAAATAGATCGTTTTTATTAAAGGTGGGTGACTGGAAACTGGAACGCTATTAAATAACGACTGGAGCGGCAATAAATCTGGTACCGATTTTGCGTAACATCAATCTTAAATTGACTAGTTTGTCTATGTGGAAAATAATTTCACATCCACCTTTTGGAGATTAGTGGATATTTGGTATTTACATGCGTCGTTTATTGACAAGTGTCCGCAAGGCACATAATATTACATCCATGTTTTACCAAATTCGTCTCGGTTTTTTTTTTCGTGTCTCCTAATTTCGAACTCAGTCAATGGCTCAATTTCAAAGGGATTCGGGTATTATTGCAGATTAACTACATCCAAAAAAAAAGTGTTTTTTTTTTAATTATATGTTTTTTGGGGTGTAGATTACGAATCTGAAATCCATTTTTGGCGGTCGGCATCGGAAAACCGATTTTTTTCGCGACTTACTAACATGGGGGTTACGTAACTTACGTTACCCACTCACCTTTATTTACTAACATGGGGGTTACGTAACTTACGTTACCCACTCACCTTTATTTACTAACATGGGGGTTACGTAACTTACGTTACCCACTCACCTTTATATAAAGGGTCGGATTGTTCATCGAAATTTTACAAAAAGCTCTTAGGTTGGGTTAAGTCAGCCAAGTTCCTTTTTTTAGATAGCATTTTGATCTAAAAGGAACCTGGGCGAACCAACCCAACCTGCGAGTTGGCGTTAGGTTGTGATCTCTCGATGTGGCAATGTATCTCCAGATTTATGGACAAAGAAGACGAAAATGTTACCCGTTGCAGTGCAACGGGTAACATTTTCGTCTTCTTTACCCGTTGCAGTGCAACGGGTAAGTTTCATTCAAGATGTCGTGCGCTACGTGTGATCGGTATTATTGCAAAAAATCGGTTTTCCGATGCCGACCGCCAAAAATGGATTTCAGATTCGTAATCTACACCCCAAAAAACATATAATTAAAAAAAAAACACCCTTTTTTTGGATGTAGTTAATCTGCAATAATACCGGGATTCGAGTAGGTAGGATTATCAAATTTTGCGCATTTTTATCAGAGGTGATAATCGGGTTTATTTGATCTGGTAAAACCCCACCAAGCTCAGCCTTAACCCTGAAGGAAATGATTTCTTTCTGTCATGAGTTGATTGTCGTAAATATTCATGATTACACACTAGCAATTCACATACTGCAATCTTGTAGATTGTTCACTCACTTAACTAAACCGGATATATGATTTTAGTGGTTAATTTTCATAGTGGTATCAGAGTTTCAAAACTTCGTCTTCTTTCCAAAATAGTATTGATCATCTTTAGAATTTGAAGAGACACCCACCGAACTTATTCAATGCTCTGTGATACTGATAGCTACCCGTTTAAAGTAGCTCATGTCGAATAAAAACGATATCAATTCACAACTTGTATAAATGTATTCACAAAAGGTGTTACCTGCGCTTTTCATAGATATGAACGTGATTAGGTATAACGGGATGATGTAGAACGGACTGATGATGGAGGAATTGTGGAGGGTGGAGGAATTGTGGAGGGTGGATGAATTGTGGAGGGTGGATGAATTGTGGAGGGTGGAGGAATTGTGGAGGGTGGAGGAATTGTGGAGGGTGGATGAATTGTAGAGGGTGGAGTGAATTGTGGAGGGTGGATGAATTGTGGAGGGTGGAGGAATTGTGGAGGGTGGAGGAATTGTGGAGGGTGGATGAATTGTGGAGGGTGGATGAATTGTAGAGGGTGGAGTAATTGTGGAGGGTGGAGGAATTGTGGAGGGTGGAGGTATTTTGGAGGGTGGAGAAATTTTGGAGGCTAGAGGGTTTTTTCCTTATAGTAGGTTTCATTGAATATCAGAGAATTACATCCTCCTTTTTTTGCGTCATTTTGTACATAACAGAATTATGTCTGTAGGATACTGATTAAAATGAGAATTGGATAAAGCTTGCAAAAATTCAAGATGCTCAAGAATGAAAGCCTGCAAATTACTCTGATATCCGTCACAAAGTTCTTACAAATCCAGTAGTTTGAAGGTTGATAACTAGAATCCTATCGTTAATGAGGAAGGCCTCAGCTTTTGCGAATCAATGGCACAGTGTTGCCTGTGTTGGCAAACTGCATCAGCGTCGTCATGCGATGCGCGACGCCATTCGACTCGCATTAGCTGATCGAGGCCCTCATCATTAAGTATAGGACTCCAGTTATCAACCTTCCAACTTCTGGATTCGTTAGAACTTTGAGACTGATATCGGAGTAATTTTGGGGCTTCAATATGAGCTTCCTCCTGTTTTGGTGATTTTGTAATTATGTCAATCAAAATTTCATTCTTCAAGGCCCGTAGGAATTATGCAGAGTAAAAGCGACTGGTGGCGCTTGGGGTGACCGGACGGCACTTGTGGTGACCATGGCGAGATGATTTGTGATAACGTGATTATTTAATCCTCATGATTATCTCTCTCGGTCAACGGTTTATTCGATCAATTATTCACTCAATGGAATTGAAAGATTACTAAGGTTTCGATAAAAGAAGCTGCCCAGTACCTATCAATCGTTCTGCAATTAAAATACTAATAGAGAAACGTGTAGGTAGTTCTAACCTGCAATTCGATTATATAAATCTTACTTGTTCAGAGTAATGCGTTCGAAAATTAGATAAATTAGCCTGAAATAAAAATATTCAACATGAGACAAGAACATTCGTGGCTATTCTTCGTGTAATAGCAAGGTTCTATACAATGTATCTAAAGAAATTGAAAACAAAACAGTGAGAATCAAAAGGCTAGAACTCGATGATGGGAAGATATTTGAGCTTAAAAATTGAGTGATGGATTAAACTTCATATTCATAATTAGTTGACAAAAACAGGGGTACTTGCGCCTAGATACAAATTAAAGAAGGAACCAACGATATTCCATATTTTGTTTCTAATAACTCTATGAATATTCTCAGCCTGTATCAACATAAGCTATTAATTTCAATCGCTGATCGCACTAGAATAATAATACAATTGAAACAAAGACGAAACAACGAATTATTTGCAATATTTTTGTTTGTAGTTTCGTGGTCGACCGGAACAATGCAGGTCGATGCATGGTTAAGAAGATCAACCCGAACGAAGCTTGTCATACTTTCAAGAATTTGGACGTCAACGGTAACGGCGGAATAGACTTTAGCATCGACGAAATAAGTGAGTTTGACTCGCATCTTATTCTTATATATGTATTATCTCGAGGTCTCCCAAGAAATAGGTGTTCGTTGCATATATTTACCAGGGTCATACAGATTGTATTTTTTCGCAATTATCAGTTAATTTCGACTGGGTTTATTATTCGATCTATCCACGTTCGTTTGAAATGTTAGTCAAGTTATTTACTAACAGTGAATTGTTCCTGGTTCACTTATTTCGATTTCTAATTTCCTAATTTCGCTACGATAAAATTGGGATTAGATAGATTTTTAAGGTATATTGGATTTTTTTAGCTACAATGTATTCTCAAAATGACTCTGTATAAATGTTTCTACTGAGAGTTATAGAACCTAACTGAAATTAAGTTTAACTCCTTTATTTAGTTGTTCTCCATTACGTAGAAGTTCCCGATGTCTCCACCTGGCTTTACTTCAACGACACTCTCATCGTTAGCTCCAAGAACTCCATCTTCCGAGTCAAAGACCGTGAAGTGGCGGAACGAAAGTTCTCCGAAGAAATAGCCTTTGTAGATTTCTTGGACTCCGAACATCTTCTTATAACATTCGAAGGAGGAATAGAGATCTGTATCCTTCCGCTACTTTTGTAACTGACTTGACTACGAACACTTAATTTTATTGAACATGTAAGCTTCAAATATTGATTGATCCATGAAAGCCATCAGAATTATGAATATCAAATTATAATAATGGATTTATTGAGCAATAAACGAAGTATCATTAAGTTTATTTACATCAATGTTTCTTCACATGTATTTTCCTTAGTCAAAGATTCGAATTTCGTTCGTCTTAGCATAAGAACTGAACGTTCATACTTGGAAAGAATAAAGTGAAAAATATTTGCCTACAAAAACGTTTCTAATTAATGTCTTTAAGTTTGTTTGGAAAGTTATTTCAATATTAATATATGTCAAATAAGTAATGAAAAATCTCATCTAATATTTCACCACTCCACCAAAAACGTTTTCGTTTTTAATGTACGTTTAAAAAATTTAATGGGTTAATATCCATATAGTGCGTCGATTTTTTTCGTTGGATATTCTGTAATAGCTCACTTCATTCCTTTCATATTTTCTTCACTAAATTTTCAATCAGATCTGCTCGACGATTTACTGGAGATAGAAGTAAAGCTCAGCGTTAGGTGTGATGATAAATCGTCTCCATTTACACCGGTGAAGCTTATCGGACGAGAATTATTTATATTGGTGAGTATCATACGATTTTTTTTTGCGTTGGCAACAATTTCTGGTTTAGTTTATTTTTTTAAATTTGTAGTTTTTGTACATGTTCATTGATTCTTTATATGTCGTCGATTTCCCACAAAGTTCCTTTACCTTTGCCACACAAAGGTTCCCAAGGCTTGTTTGTTATAACTATAATTCTTAGTAGAATTAAATTGATTGCTCTACATTGTTTGGGAATGTATCTTTTCGCCGTTGAATTCGGTCACTTGTAACTACAAATATTAGTGTTCCCACATCTAATGTGCACGAAAATTTCCTCATCCAAACCTCATGAAACAACCTGCTCTAATTCCAGCTACACTTTCTGTTATGGCTGAAGAAATTTTAGGCTTTAATCTGTACTCAACCAGTTAGCATTGGATACATATTGTCGCTGAACTAAATGATTTTCACTTATTTTAATATGATCTCATTTGTGTGTCTACTACAGGCCGATTCGATGCTCCTTGTTACCAGAATTCCGTTCGTAACAGATTATGAAAGATCAGGTGAGACTATCTAATTCGATATTTTTATATTGTCCACCTCTATATCTGATACTCGAAGCATGCAACCAGTGAACTGAATCCTCGCGGAGGTTAGCTTGTAAATTTTAATGTCAAGCATTCATTTACTTTGTCTTATTCATTGCGTGATTGCCGATTTTGGAATAAATTCTATCATGCATGCACCCTTTGGGCCAGTAACATGGGAATATTGACGTCGCGTGAAATCTATTTGGTGGTTCGTGATACCTACAGGAAACAGTTAATCTATTTTCCTATCATATAGATCAGACGAATCCATTGGTGGCGTCAGTCATATACCCAGTTGCTTTCGGTAAGGTGCCTTTAAATCCTAAATCGCCAACCGGGCGAAGAATCGCAGCATCAGTTTCTCGAAACCAGAAACTAATTCTTCAGGTTGCTCACCCGGCTAAACCTGAACGTAAGTACCTCAGACAAATGCATCCATACTAGTTTTCGAATCAATATTAGATCGAATTGAAGTATGTCAATACCGTATGATGCTTACCGTGTATCGATTAGAATATTTAGCCCCTTGATTCGAGACCAATTTGTGACGATTGCTTTTAAACTACTTGACAGGAAGTGAAAAAACTTGCATTAGCATTGGTTCCTAGATGTAAATTATTGTTATGTTGGTCCTTTTTAGAATGTTATGTTGACCCTTTTTAGGATTTTATGTTGACCTTTTTAGAATGTTATGTTGACCTTTTTAGAATGTTATGTTGACCCTTTTTTTACTCGACAAATAACTAATACTAATTATTTGTTAACTAGCAACTAACTCTTTTTATTTTCTACAACAGGTCAGATAATCAAATCGGTTTTGCTGAAGCCGTGTAAAGTAACAGAATGTGATTTAAATTTGCCCAACACTCAGAATATTCAATTTGAGCAAAAAATTGTGGATAGCCCAGCCAATGGGAATCGTGACAATTATTTCCTTTTCAACGGGCGCATTTTGTGCCGGATTGAAACTAAGGTGAGCGACCACAGAATCGATTTTCGAAAAATTTTCGAGATTGTTTTCAATCCTCTACAGACCGGTGGAAAAACGGTCGTCAAATTAAAAAGTTATTAATTATATGAGAAAGGCATTGCTGTTCAACTCATTTCTTGGATATCACTATTGGTTTTCACAGTATTAGTATACGAGATATTCAATCTATGGTAATTTTTTTCAGACGTTTAAACGAATAAAATATTGGCACAGGATGTTGTATTGAATTGTCTTTATCAATCAACAGGGTACCATAGGGGATTGGATTAATCAGAAGAGAATAACGCCAGACCAACTGAAAGCGAAAGTCTCCCATGCTCTCCAGGATCGTGATATCGAAGCGTGTATAGAGCTAATTTTTTATATGATCTCTGGTACGTAGCACGTATTTTCTTAGTATAGTTGCATTGAATAAGTTACACTGACCTTTGTGTTCCCTCAATTTGTGTACATCACTTGCGATGGCAGATGTTCAATTTGTTGATAGTATAACTTGATTAATATGCTAATTATCAATGACACATTGTGTCCCAAAAATTGCTCCTTGACGGCTCCAAAAGTTTTATACGAATTATTTAAAAAAAATGTATTCTAAGTCTGACCGCAACTATTTCTTCGTCACTTTCAGAACTTGAATTCTTGACAAATATGGCCTCTTCACCAATTCAAAACGGTGAAATGGCTTTTGAAAAATGGCATTCTTGTATGGATTTTATTAAGGATGTTATGAACATTTTATTAGAATGGAAAAAATGTTCTGCTGTACCCAAAGAGGGAATTATTCACCGCTACAGAGTCCTTGCTGAATCATTTGAGAACGGTTCTCGTCAAATGGAATTGAAGCCTTCTTCTATGGGAAATGCAAAACGAATGAAAGCGTCTCATAAAGAAGACATGATGAGACTCTTCGAATGTCATTTCAAAAGAATGAAAACCAGAATGTTTAGTTTGCAGAAATTTTTCAAGAAGATGAATACGGTCGAACCTAAGGCTTTGGCTGATCGATTGTTAGCAGACTTGAAAAATTTTACAACATTGGATCGTATGTTCGACATTATCGAAGACGCAAGTGTTCAAATGTATCACTACCAACATTCAGATAAAAAAAATTTACCAATCAGCACATACAATTTTGGGGAGATGTTTGAGGTACCTTGCCAGTTTATGCTTCAGGTCCTAAACGAATTTTATCCTATCACAAACCGTTCTAAGACTACTGCCCTTCTTGCGCTCTTCAATCATTTGCTACGCTTTCATGCCAAACAAAAATTTTATTCAATCGTCGACAAAGTAAGTGTACTTTCTAAATCATACATACCACAGCTGAAGGAAATATTTGCGACCAGCAAGGACTTGTTCTCAGTTTGTCTGGCGAGGGAGCTTCTCGTTCAAGCTAAACAAATAGATCCGAAGAAGAATGAAGCATTTGTACTCTTGATGTGCATATTTAAAGAAAATGAACTCTGTTCTTCGATTCTCGGTGAAAGGTAAACAAATAAAATTTGTATTATATGTGGAACAGCGTTTTACGCTCTCTGCTATTGTAGCTTCATTAGAATTGAGTAAATTTTACGAACAACATTTTTGTTATTTAAAATTTGTTGATTTGAAAGTAAAATACTCAAATCATCTAACAAAGAGATAATTTTCTGATTCATACAGAACTTTGGCATGAAACGCCAAATTTTGTTGGATACAAAAGAAGATACTTCTTCTAGTTATTATATTATTGTATCATTTTGGTTCAGCATGGGAATTATTTTTCATCGGTATCAAATAGCGTGATGGATAAATTTACATTGCTACAGAGAAATATTGCCTTTTTTGACGAATGTCGGACAGTTATTAGTTATTACAGGCCATTCCTCATTTGATTGAAATAAAGGTTCTACAAGGTTCAACTTTCTGACATCCTCATACGTAATTTATATAACGCCTTCCCCCCTCCCCCCCCTGATTTATTTAAAGCTAGTGTCACCTTTGTATGCGTTTACTCCTTGCAGAAGCTGGCTCGGGCAACTTCACTTCTCAGTTATGATACTAGATACCGTGCATCACAAGATGACATATTCTATTGACGAACTCGTCCAATTTGACAATCAATCGAAGAGAATCATGAAAACCATCGTAAACAGTCATATGGGCAGTAAGTTGTTATGGTTGAAGTTTATAATCGATTGCGTTTATAGAAAAATATCGGGAGAATATTAAGGATTTTAGGTTAGAGTCGCCTTGTGCACCACCAAGTTATTGAAGTTTTAACATAATTAAATGACCAATTCATGAATCGGGTACATAGCTCTTGTTTCCATATAACTCAAATTGTATGTACTTCCCATTTACTCCAATTGTTTATTTTGTAGAATGGTGCCGTTGCGGTAGTTGTACTGCCGAGTGCCGAGGCAGGTTGTGCTGGTCTCTTACGTTGCAACCTTAGTAACTAGCTTGGTTTGTAATTTGGCTGTCATTTGAGGCAATAATTATTTATATTTTTTCTCACCACAGATTACCACAAGGAAAATCAGCAGCTCGTGGTATGGGGCTCGCATATATACGGTACCAGATTGACCGACTTCGGCGAATGGCTACAACACTGTCTCGGGCATGCTTCTCCAGGAAATCCTCCGGAGTTGGGTAGTCTCGATGCAATCGCAGCGATCATAGCCTGGATGCTCAGCATCTGCAACGCTAATCAAGCTAACCAGATTAGTCTTGCATCATGCCCAGAGTTTGCTACTTTGGAAACGAGGCATATGCGTTTCTTGCTTGACCTATCAAACCAGAGCAGCGGCCTGTCGTTAGGTTCGTCATATAAGTATACCAAAAATGGCTTGGCAACTTCGAAGACAACAGCCCGGAAAACTGCAACATTCGCATTAACAGCCCATTTGAGCAACAAAAACATGATCATAACTCCTGCCATGATGAATTTGCTCGATAAAGCTCCACGATATACTCGTCGTACAGCTTTAACTTTGTTAGCTTTTCACGGCGTGTATCTCAAATCTGACCTTCAGAAACCCTTTAAAATTTTTGCTAGAATGTTAACATCAGAATCATTTCACAGCATCGCCCCAGATGACTCGAAAATGGAGTTTTTGGTGAAAGAAACCCAATTCCAAGGTATGATTAAAGAGTTCTTGGGAGTGTCGATTTTAGAAGTGCCTGAAGTCAGCGGAAATGGATTCAGCGTGATGAAAAGCTGGCGCACTATGTATGAAGAATTTAGAATCCTCGAACACTGCAAGAAGATTAAAGTTGTCCAGCATTTATTCCTTCAAAACATCATGATATACGCAACCGAGAATCCTTCTAGCAGTAGCTGTTCAGTCGTATATAAGGCAGTTAAAATATTTAATGAATCTTTTACAAACTTCGACGGAAGCGCTGCTTCTGATTTTTCATCCGAGGGCGCAAAATCTAAGGAAGACTGGAACTCTTGGATGCTATGGAGCGCTCCCTTCGCCATGGAGTAAGTATTAGTGTATGTCTCGCAATGCAAGGGTTCACAAAATAAAGGCGAGTCAAGTGGATATGTTGGCATGGCTCCTGGTTTGCAAAAATAGCGAATTGTGACTGCTAGAGATGAATTTTACTATTTCAAATTTCAATAAATGCAAAATTCTCATCTATTTTGAGATTAATTTTTCATTACTACGGTTAATGAGCAATGGAACTATTTGCACTTTTTACGGAGGTGAAGGCAGCTATGTATGATATTCCGCGAATGAACAGAAAATGATTATTTTAAAGAAAATTTGGTAATGCTTTTTGCGGTTGGACATAGAAATACGCAGAATTGTGACGTTCTGAAGCTTGTAAAAGAAATTATGATCAATTCTAAGATGATTCTAATCCTAAGCCCATAAATGTGAATGGAATCTTTTAACTTCAATTTGGATTGATATCCTCAAGTATCCGGTCACGAAAGGAAGATATGTTAATTCCGCTTTTCGAAAAATTGCAGAAAGAGCTGAAATTCCGGTGTCTAAGTCACAACTTTTCTTGAAAGACTCTCATTTTAATTTAAGATTTTGCCATTAGGTGATGCTATGAACGGAACGATGAGCAGGTGAGTGACGATTGGCAAAGCCTTGATAACGCATATTTTATAGCACACAGAGACGTTGTGAGCTCATTCTGCAGGGATTGCCAGTTGGCATGCATGGTAACTTGCCGGTGAAACGGTTCAAGTATAATGACCATTTTTTTACTAACCGAACCGTAGTAAATTTTGAACACGATTGTGGGAAAATTAACTGAGTGATAGAAGAGTGAGCGACGCTCTCATGAACTGTTGGAATTTTATAGTCTGAATTTGGATAGTTAAGAAATGACCTGCATGGCTTTAATTATCCTAATTAGTTATTGGTACCGTTGAGAAAACCATTGTGTCAAATTTTAAATCCGAAGTTGTGACCATCATTACCCGTGTTCCGTATTTTATTTAGCTCGTTAAAAAGAGCATTAAAGTTCTACAGCCGCTTATCCTATTTACCATTTTTCATTTTTTATTTTATCAAGTATTAGAATGAAACACGGTGGATCGTTTTCGGGTTTGTCACCTTTTTAATGATTGGCTTTTGTATGATTTCTATACAACTGTAAATTTTTTTTTCAAGTAGTTGGCGTTTTCCCCAAGGTTTCCCAAGATACTCTACCACGGCCTCTACCACACCAAGGACTTCATCGATCACGTAGCTGCAGACGTTACGTCTGCTCTAGCTGTTGCGTACGCGGCATGTTGCGTCAACCAAGCTCCTAAATCTTTCAAGTGAGTTCGACGGAATCGTGCCTTATTGTAAAATTTTTAAAATTAATATTTAAGCTTCCAGCTCATGTAAACCTCGTGGCGGCGTGATAATAAATCTGTAATTCAATTCTCTCTATTTAGAGAGCTAAGCGTCGTTGCCAACTCTTTGAATTACTTTTAAGCTGAAATCTGACACTCGTAAGCTAGAAATCAACTAATTAATTTGTTGTGTGAGCCGAAATTTTGAGCTATTTTTCATACAGAATATATCAATTGTTAGGACATTTGCAGTTACAAATAAATATTTCACTTTCCAAATGGTGATTCGTTCAGCAGCAGACCGGAGTTATTTCATTCGATGTCAGTGCGATTGTATCCCTCAAGAAGTTTTGTTTGATACGTGTTACATACAGTAGGTACGTGTTGTAACCATGCTTAGTTTCAGTAAGACAGAGGATATTCAGTTCGATGAAGCAAATAATCAGTTCTCGTTACTTCGTTTCCATTTTAAGAGTTGCTACGAAATTTCATAGTTATAATAAATCCATCAGAAAACATCCAGAGAGAAAGATCATTAGCTACATTTGTAGATATTCGCTGGAGCTCATTTGTTCCGCCAGATGAGTTGAAAATACGCTAGATCCAATTGAAAATAGCTAAGTAGGCAACCTAGCTATTTGCAGGTATGGTTGTGACAATTGCAGTGAAATTTTATGTTTGCCATCAACTCAGTTGTTTGTTCGTCATGAAGCTTGCTCGATGCATGAAACATCATTGTTTGTTATAATCCTTGTGAAATTCTAAGCGATTACAGCTAAAATTTAATCAGTTACGCCTTCATCTTCATGTTGAGTCGGAGTATGGCTTCCATATTTTTTGGTGTAGTATAACTACCATGATCCTTTGATTGTGACGCGTGTGTTCATATTTTTATTATATTCCGTATTCATCTTGTAGCGTGTTGGAGTGGGAAAGAAGCTTATGCAAAGTGGGCTTGAAGGCATGGCCCCACAGGAGCGTGTGTAGCAGCTGCGTAGCGCTCCTCGTGCTCACTGGGAGAGACTGCACCAAACTGCGCTCAGCGCTCGCGCTCGCTTTCATGGTGAGCTGTGAGCTGTACTCGTCCGGAAGGTCCATGAACTACCAAATAACCCTTTTGGTTGTCAAGTGCTGCGCTCAGCATATAGGTCTGCATTGGGAGAGAGCAAGTTAGAAGTTTGGCTCGGTTTAAGCGCAATACGTTATGCTTGACGCCACTGTCAATCGAAGTGCAAACTGAACACAACGTTAGCCTTGGCTCTATTCTTCCCGTCTAGCAAAGACTAATTTATCAACCTCTGTTTCGTAATTTTACTCTAATCATTTTTGACATTCACTTTGATGGTATATTGCTGGAGCGCTGTAATATTTCGTAGTTTAGCTATCGTAGAATCAACTACATCTCATTTTTCTCCTTGGTCGCAGATTGCTTCGATAGTAAGCAAGATCGTTAAGGACCCATCTAAAAGCAACTCACGTAATCTTTGCAAACTGAAGAATACTCTTGAACAACTTGCTTACAACGACGGTGCAGCAATACTCCTTCGTAACCTATTCGACGAGGCTTGTAAAATTACATTGAATTCATTCAATAAGGACATGCTCTACACTCCTGATACTCCTAAAGGTGCAATAATTGAGGCAAGAAAGGGAATCTATTCTGTGTCTCAAAATGTCTCAAATAAATCATGTGGCATAACCGTCGAAGAATTGAGGACAAGATTCTTGAGAAAAGCTTCGCTTCTGAGAAAGGAATTTGTTAAAAGTTATGAAATTCCCGAACGCAAATCCGATACAACGAATACATCAAGGGGAGAACAAACTGAAATCAGCAGACCTCGTCCTTCTGAGGATTTACAAAGAAATAACGGCAGTCTAGAGCCAGACCCAAGAGAATCCTTAAATCGTGAATCAGATCAAATTGAAGCAGCAAATGAAGGGCTCCCTGCACAAAATCTAACAAGTTCTGCCAAAAGTCCTTGCAATTTTGAACCAGATCGGAAGGAAACGGCAAGTGAAGTGCATGACTCGCTCCTTGTGGAAAATCTAACAAGTTCAACGGAAAGTCCTCGCAATTTTGAACCAGATCGGAAGGAAACGGCAAGTGAAGTGCATGACTCGCTCCTTGTGGAAAATCTAACAAGTTCAACTGAAAGTCCTCGCAATTTTGAACCAGATCGGAGGGAAACAGCAAGTGAAGTGCATGACTCGCTCCTTGTGGAAAATCTAACAAGTTCAACTGAAAGTCCTCGCAATTTTGAACCAGATCGGATGGAAACAACAAGTGAAGTGCATGACACGCTCTTCGCGGAAAATTTAAGTAGTTCCATCAAGAGTCTTCGCAACTGTAAACCAAGTCGAAGGGAAGCAGAAGGCGAAGTGCGTGACTCGCCACGTGCTGAAAATCCAACTAATTATAGTGAAAGTCATCGCAAATTCGAATCAGATGGAAGCGAAGGAGCAAGTGCAGCGAAGGGGAAGGAGCAAGTGCACATGCTCCATACTGTAAGTCCTTGCGACATGGAGTCAGGCCGAATGATAACAGTGAGTGAAGAAACAAGCACGAGTCTTGCGAAAAATCTAACGAGTTTGACTGGAAATCCTCGCAATAGTGAAAAAGATCGAAAGGAAGCAGCAATTGAAGAGCATGATTCGCTCCGTGCGGACGGTCCAGTGTGTACTTTTGGGAGTTTGTTCCGCATTGAGCCATCTAAATGGGTGACATTAGGCGAGGTGTGCGACATGCTCCAAGATAAAGATTCTAGTCAAAACGAAGCGTTTCAAATAACCAACTATAATCAATCAGCATTGACCGAGTCTTGTTCGATTAGAAATAAATCTTCTTTTTTGGACCCATCAGGTCAATCGGTTACTTCAGAACATCAAAATTTTCCCAATACAATTTCATCGTCTATGCCAAGCGATCAAAATCTTCCCGTATCTATGCCATTCATTGTGAACACATCTACTTCAGAAAACCAAAAATTTTCCCGTGCAACTTCATCGTCTTTGCCGAGCGATAATAACCCTCCCGTTTCCATGCCATTCATTGTGAACTCATATATGCAATCAATAGCTTCATTACCTCTAAATGAATCCAGCCTAATTCTGACTAAGATGCTGAATAAATCGAAAAATTCAAACTCGGAAGGTCGTCCCTCATGTTCAATTCATAATTCTCAATCGAGACTTACTACCCCGCCGCCGTCAGTATCTAATGAAAACCAACAAAACTGTTTAACAAGTCATCTTAGATGCCATCGTGTTTGTAGGACGCTCAAAGTGTTGGTGTGTCATCGACATTGCTTCAAATCAGGGCCCCGTGCTTGTCATCTTGAATGTTCGACATCTGTGCGTAGAGAACTCTTAGGTGACTGTGCGGCATCTGCGAGATCGGAAATTCCCCGCAACTGTTCAACAACATATGTCAAAGTATGTCATCTTAACGGTTCGACGAAAATTACGAGCAAAACTCATTGCTCCTCAAAGACATCGAAGTAGCATGCCAATGTTTTAGTTTATGTTCGAAATTTGTAGCCAAAATTTTACATCTCGTGAATAAACTGCAGGACCTGTAACATGCCATCAGAGTTTCCCATGTAATTTTTGAAAGCGTATATGTGACACCCATTACTCGTATGTTGTTACCGAAATAACGTATTTCCTAGAAATATACAACCGTTTTCTTGGATTCTCGTAGACATCTTGATAAACCTTGAATCAATGTCTTTCAAAGATACAGTTATTAATCTGCAGCTGTTTACGATCTCTGAGGAAATGCGGAATTTTTACTTCATGATCTGATTCTGCTCCGACTGCTCCTAAATCTGAATATTAGTTGATGCAAATCTTGTATTTATATGGCATTGGTCGACAGTTGTGTATGAGCTTAATGTTTGCGTAGAAAGGACGCGTCGGATCGATACTCGGCTAGAAAACCATGTATTTATTTTATAAATTACACATTTTGTGTGAGCTTGTATATATGCAGATATCTTATCAGTTTGATTACAGTTGTTAATTACGGAGCATCTACCAAAATTTAGAAATTAATCCTACATTTTAACGCTTGTCGCTTGTATATGTTGTGATGTATAATATGAAATTTCGTCAAATTTTAATATTTGCTGCCATTTTGAACGACAACTCCTCGTTTATCGAATTTATAGGATCCTTTATAATGATGAAATTTTTTTGCTTTACTATTTAATCGGACACGAGTTTTTTTTTCACTTCATGACTGTGGAAATGAGTTGCTGCGCAGGTAAGAACTATCGAGATGTTATTAAGACCATTTCTTCTTCCTGGAATTAATTTTAAAAAGTTTAGGTTAAGTTTGTGTGAGAATTTTATTGAAAGTTTTCGTATCGCATCTTATTTCTTTCGGTGCATAAAGTGACCCATGCATCACTTTAGCAGCAAATGATTAAACTCTTTACCCACTACTATATAGTTAGTAATTAAACGTATAATTTATAAATATTGTTTTATCTATCCGGTCTGAATTGTAACTCAGTTTGAATATCACGAGCGTTTTTTATTGGGAAATTTGAGGCAAATACGAGTTTCTTCTAAAATTCACTCATTGAAAACGCATTCCTCCCTGAGTATTGAGTATGTTTCAGGGCCAATTCGACAGCAGCCACTCCACCATTATTTCTTTGCATATTTATTACGGTTATTTATCTTGATTCTTAACCACTCGGCCGCCCCGAACTACACATGAACTATTCTCAATTGACGGCTCTCTGTTACTTATTTATCTAGTAGTTACAAGTTATTAGTAGGCTATAATAGTTATTTCGTGTGATTAGTTTGGCGAGATGCTTTTACGTATTTTTTATGGTAAATACTAAAATAACATATGGAGTTCAATGCTGGCACCACTTTCATGTCGTTGTCTTGCCCTTCTACAGTTTCTGGTATTTTTTAACCATGTAAACTGAGACTTCATTTGTTGAAGTAATGAAACCCGTTCATCATTCGCTGCCGAAAAAGTGTTCTTCAGTCTTTTGATCGACTTTCCGAATTTTGATCTGAAAACATATTTTCAGCCCATAAATGTCCTTGAAAAATCGGCAATTACCTTCCTGAGTGCTTCTAAACGACTATCGTTTCAAAATGTAATAAAAATTTAACATTGTTGCATAACTAGTAACAATTAAGTATAACATCGAGCTCGTCAGTTTATATTTGCTGACGGTTTCATTCTTCGATTATTCACGTGCAGGCATTCAAATAATGACGTCCAATTATTATTTATTCTTGTAACTTTTTTCAAGAGCACTAACTGGGTTGGAAGTAACAGCCGTCAGTTGCATGACAATCTTGGTAGTACAACCATTGTAAAGCTCATTTTCATTTATTGATGGCATGGTTTTTAATTAAGCTTCTAGTCACCTGCTACTTTCTATGTTATTTGTGGAACAGGTAACCCTTATTTACATTATTTTATTGCGTATGGCCCTTAAAGAAGTACGAGCAAGTCAAGTATAAATACCGTGGTTCCTAGCTAGGGACATCTTTGACCAAAACGTTAAGAATATGCTATTTTCTTCGCTTTGAGATGCTTACTGTTATTCATTCGTGTCAGCTTATACGACCTAGTCACAGGATACCACCACATAATTGCTCGTACTTGTTTTATTTAAATTTTATTACGAAATGGCTAGTGTAGGTTCATTATCTGGCGGGAGAAGAGAGAAGAAACTTGGAATAACTTTGCTAATTAAAGGTCCTTCTGTAATGAGCAGACCGAGTGGACATCACGAGTGATTTACTGAGCTGTGAGTACCAGCAGTGACAGAAAATTTATATTATTTCAATTACTAATTTAAGAGTTCATTTTCCGTCTAGCCATTTCACTGTATTTCATCAGCCGTAATGCTTATCTGCCATGACTTTTTATGGTAGTGTCTTAGCTTATTTGTCATGAACTCCTCCATTATCTTCCGTGTGGACTAACCTATAATAACATCCTTGCATTGTGTTCTAACACTTCGGCCTTATTGAGCCTGTTGAATTAAAAATGACCAAGCAGCTCTTGGTGTAAATTTGATTGCAAATTGAGTGCGCGTGGAAAATGTAAAATTAAAATACCCACTTTTTTCTAAATTCTTGCAAAACTATTTGGTCAAAATTAATAAATCGATATAATTATTTTACAATATACTAGCTACATGAATTAGAGTGCAAATTGTTACTCAAGTGTTCTGAAAATACACAGATTACGAAGCTAAAGTTCATTCGTTAGATACCTAATATAATTTTTGCATCTGGCCATATTTTTATCGGGGGTAACGGTGGGAAATTTATTAAAAATCACTGTAAAAGGCTAATGGTGGACCATTTACTAGACTTACATATTTATCGTGGGAACCCGAACCCTTCAACGTCTTGTCGCATTGTCAAGGCGAGTCGCGCGCCGTCATCGCGGGAACCAACACGTGTCACGGGCCACATGCTAGATTACATGATATTGACATAGCACTTAAATTATTAGCCTTTCGCAGTTTCTCTTCTACCGCCGAACGTCCTACACGATGTCTCGGTAGGTGCAGCAGTATGAACTTATGAGAGAAAAGCGTATCTGTATTTATTACAGCACTTCTGTATTACCATGTTTGCATGTTCAGCCAATGCGTCGACTGCTGGTTCAAAATGATTTCCGATCATTTTATACTCGAAACCCCATTCTTAATTAGCTCGTGTTTTTCAATTTGTATGTATGTTCTTTAGGAACTAATGAATATGATCTGTTTCGTACTGTACGTAGAAACAAAAAAAATTTTAAATGCTTTATCTCTTGTAATTATTTTGATTGATCAGCTATGTGTGGAAATTTTAGTGTCATGAGTACCAATGCTTATGCATGAATATTCTTTCAGTTTTCTGTATGTTCTCATCGTCGTCCTGACGACCCAGCAAGCGTCAGCAGATTGTGTTGCAGGTGGGTGGATTTAATCTTGTTCTTTATGCATTTTAACATCTAATATTGCTTGGATAGTTCCGTTTACCCTTCAACTTCTTTTATCCACAGATTGTTATTAAATGCAGGACTATGGAGTGTGAATGAAAAATTGTGTAAAAATGAATTACAATCGTAATTTTTCTTCCAATACAATTGAGTGAATTTGTGCTAGAATTTTTGCCATGACCAAACAAAATGATTTCAATGAAAACTGTTTATAATTTGGCTAATTATAATATAATTTTATTAATGATAAACTTTAACATCTAAACGAATTCAGAGGTGATTTAACAGATTTCTCCCTCCAAAATAAAGGCACAACCGTTGGCCCGTGCTTGTGTATGGAGGATGCGAACGGCGGGCGCGCTCTGCAGTGCAGCGATGTCGCGGACGGAGCTGATATCACCGCGGCACTCCAGGAGATTAACGTGAGTTTAATGAACGATAATGATCATTAAATAAACATTTAATGATTAATGTGTGTTTAATGGTCGATTAATGTATGTGTGGCTGATCGATATGTCTACTTCCTAAATTTCTTGAGTTGAGTTCTATAAAATATAGTTGAATACTATCTTTATTGCATTTGTTTAGCTAGAAAATGAGAAAAAGCGATAAAAAAAAAACCATGGAAACCTGTTTAATACCAGGAAAACACTTCAAAATCTCTTGATCTAGTGATTTGTGAGATGCTTTTAATTTTATCGAAATTTGTGCGTTCCAAACGAACAGTAGAGTTGATAAAATTAGCAATGGTAATTTTTGAGGTGGCGACGGTGACCAGCCTTGACATACGCAACAGCCCCAACCTCGTGTCATTGCCCGACAACGCGTTTGGCACCACAGCTGTGCTGCACCTCAGGTAACTTTAATCCGTCAATGCAATCTATTCCTTGTTTTATCAATCCTCACAAAATTAATCATCACAAAACATCACGGATTATAGAATACTATATCATTGATTCCTATTGTTTGTTAATTCGTATTTTACAATAACTTAGGGCACAGAACTGCCTGATTTCCTTTTTTAGGTAAGATAATTTAGGTAGGATACTGTATAATCAATGTATTAATAACATATCTTATTACATTTCATTTTGAGCGTGGACGCATGCTGTGATATTTTAGAAATGAAATGTACGGGTAAGTCATTTGTCAAGGATCAACAACGTACAGCGTCATTTTTTGACGATGGAAATTGTAAAAGTATTTGTCCTTTTAGTTAATTTTATTGACGTGTAATGTTTCGTTTATATATGGACGAAATTATTTTTGTGAATGGCGATTTTTGTAGAAGCGATTCTTGTCTCAAGAAAGCGTTAGGTTTGGTTCCAAAAGATTTGTTAATGATCAGTTCAACAGTTCATTCGTACCTTATTTTTCTCACTAGTTACAATAGTTTGCTATCTATTTGTTCTAAATAATTTTATAACGGTAACCAAATGAAAAGTCGAGGCCATGCCCCCTCTTCTTATTGCCGTAAACGAGCAATTTTCTTGCTAATAATACCCTCGTTTTGCAACGGGTGTTAGTTGGGAATAAATTGTACCTACTGAGAGTAAATATTGAGTGTCTTAACTCTAAAGAAGGTCGAGGTAAGCAAAAAGCAAATAGTGCAATGAAGAGGCAGTCGTGCAGTGTGGAGAGTCCCGTATCTTAACTTTTTGTGTTATCAAGGTCAAATAGATGTGGGGAAAAATATATGTAATTATATTGGCTTCTGATTTTTTACTAAGCCATTTTAATAAGTTCTTGATGAATATAAATTGGAAACTATGGTGTATTGCTACTAATATGCTATCTATTCATAAAATTACAAATTAAAGTTATTGTATTTTATTTTTGCATGTTGATAGTTGTCAAGAAATATAAATTCGCTAAAATTACTTTATTTGTTATATATTAAATAATTTGTATAATGTGCTGATATTCCGTGAAAGTGTGTGAATGCATGCTACATGGAAATGAGCCGTTTCGTTGAAAATATCCCTTAGTAGCAACTGCTTGCGTGTGCAAATCAATTGTTAGTTTTCTGCATGAAAAGCTAAGCTTAGAACAGCGTTTATTGTCAAATGAATCAGATATTTCATCACTTTGCAATTGTAAGTTTCATAAACGACAATGGGCTTTTGGAATATCTTACGTGAAGTGTCTTAATGGATCGGCGCTAATTGATCCAGTCGAGCATTCGCAGTAGTCAAAAGCGGATAGGACTAAAGCATGGTTGAATTAATGTATTAATTCAACCATGGGACTAAAGAGCATTTGGACTAAATATTTTCGCATTTGAGTTGGTCGGATAGCCTAACAAAAACCTTTACCTCGGCATCATGAATAAGCGAGGCTTGCTAACTGTCCAATGGTGTGATGCACAAGTACTTCCAAAAAGGGTAAGATTTTTTCGTAATAATGGCATTAGAATATGATCCCTACCATATTTTTTAGAACTCGAATACACCAGAGTTGCGTTGTAACTCACACTTGGCGAATTGCTCTTTGCTTACAATTATCTTTTTACGTATTTCAAGGGCATTATAAGAAATCATTATAACAATATGCTCGGTCGGTTAGTGTTAGTTTACTGATGGGAAATTTGGTAGCTGATAAGATGATTCATCTGATAATAATAAGTACGTTATGTCATGCCCGGAGTCAGAAATCCCTACTTCGTAATTAAAGCCTCTTACAATCTCTGCCTCTCGAAACCTTGTACAAAGTGCATTTGAGTTTCAAAAATTATCAATAAAGATACTTCGACGAGTTATTTCACGCATCAGAGGGAGGATGTAATGCCTAATATGAACACAATAATATTCTGCAGGTTCTACAATACCGGCCTGCAGAGCTTATCAGCATCTACTTTTGGAGAAGAAACAGGCGCAGCACTAATTACCCTCTACATTAAATACTGTTCTTCCTTCACAGTTCTCGACTCAGCCATGGTAAATATAAGTTCATGGAAATTACTCATTTACCATCGAAGAACCCTAATGTTATGAATCTATAACTTTTTATTTTTCAAACAAATTTAGAGAAAATCGGATCACAATTTTAGGCGAGATCCTTGTGCAATAATTTAGGCTGCTATACTGTTCTTCCTTCACAGTTCTCGACTCAGCCATGGATGGTAAATTTAAGTTCATTCTCATTTATTTCTCTTTTAACATTGAAGAACCCCAATATTATGAATCTACAATTTTTTATTTTTCAAACAAATTTCGATGAGAAAGTCAGATCACAATTTTTGGCGAGATCCTTGTGCAAGAATTTAGGCTGCTTATCTCATGCCTAGGCCGTTTATGCTGCGTGTCTAACACTAGTCTTGCGGTATCATAGTTACTTATGAGCAGTTCGCTTCCCTGCCCTCACTAACGGAGCTGTACGTGTCAGCTACTGGAGTGTCAGCGCTCACAGATCCTCTGCCTGCCACCACCCTGCAGTACATCGATTTCAACCGCAACTCCATCACACAGGTTAATAACGGATTTCTCGTCATCAATACAGATAAAGAGGTTACTTCTACGCCTAGCTCTGTGATATAACGATTGCCAAGTTGTTTGAACAATAATAGTAAATTATTATGGCTTCTTACTCTTATCTTCTTCCCGAATAAGGTTGACGTGGAAAAAGACTTAATTCTTGTCCTCGTTAGTCAGAAAAAAACGGGCAACAAAAAATATTCTAGGTTTGAATTAAACTTTGCAGATCAGCGATAATTTCTTCGGGAGCGCGTCGTCGCTGACGGTCGTTCTGCTGGCGTTCAACGACCTCACGAGCGATGCTTTGGCGAACACTACGCAGAGCTTCGCCGCTCCCGGACAGGACCTCTACCTCGACCTCGGCTATAACACCATCAGCAGCGGACTAATGGGGCTTGCTTTCCCGGGTTAGCCACCCCTGCGACAATATTTTACTGCGTTTGTACCATAGGTTATCATTATTTACGTGCTGCGGTAATCTCCTTAAAAGTTAACTTACCGAGTTGATGGCTCTTGACCTCGATTTTTATTTATTTAATTCAGACGTATAAGATTTCCATTGACCATTCAGTTGTTTGTGAATGGTGAAGTTTCTTCGCTGAGGCATACATCGTATTGTATTCTCTTGAATAATTTTCAAATCTACTAGCCATTTAACACGAACTTTTCCATAGACCCGGACTTCACCGTATCAATTATAAGAAATAAATATAGAGAATAATCGAATTGTTTTTTAGCTACTTGAAACATTTCACTTGTGACCTAACATATTTCTGATAACTACATCAAGTCCGGGCAGGATAAATGATATTATTCCTGGAGGTAAATTATGGTTGTACTCCCTTCTGTAAACCTGCAGAGCTCAAATAAGCCATGACAGATTAACGATACTTGTATTAGTAATGCTTCAAGATCTCTCAAACAGATGCCGCCCCACGGGAGCTCATCCTCAGCGGCAACGGTATAACAAAACTCACGGAGGAGTCCTTCTCCAGTCTGGTGGACGCCATGGCTGCTCAGTACCCCAGCACTGAGCCTTACATTCTGCTCGACAGTAAGAAGTGGTATATGTTGGCAGTAGGATGTGTTGCATTGACTTTTGTATTTTGAATTCTTAGTGAAACATGATTGAAATTCAACCAGTGCTGTTGATTGAAAGTAATATCGGTATGTTATTCTTTTTGAATGTTTTCGCAGTGGGAAGGTGCGATCAGGAAACCCAAACCAATAATTTGAATGAAAATAGGCAAAATTAATGGCGTCAAAGATGCTAGAGCATACAAGAATCATTAAGATCTTAGGAAATTTTAATGATCGATTACTTAATTCGTAGCGGCAATGTGGATCTGAATCCACTTTTTTTAGCTCCATGCACAACGAATCCACAAGTGCGAATAATTTTGTTGATATTGGGAGTAGTTGTTAAAGGCGCTTGTATTCTAATTGGTTTTTATACATGTTGAATATATTTTTTGATAAATATTAACGTCTATCTTAGGTATTAACTATGGGGGAAGTTTGTGCGATGCACCATCACGCAATAATATCCCTCGCGTTGAACTAACTTGAAAACTTTGTTCCAACGAATTAAGCTTGTCCTCCACACACCACAGACAACCCGCTGGAGTGTGGGTGTGAGGTAGCATGGGTGACGACACACCCAAATCGCGCTGTCATCAAGAATGCCATGTGCGACAACGGCCAGTTGCTCGACAACCTCGGACCAGCCGACTTTGCCGATTGCTAAATTCCCCCGTTTTGTTGGTAATTGTACCAACATGTACGGAGAAAAGTCATTGTAAATGATGCAAGTTAAAAAAATGAAAATGAGTTGTTATAAAAAATGTAACGTAAAACTCCCGTAAAGATATTACGAAAAATTTTTTTTATTACCCGTTTTCGGTACTCATGTTGCGAGTAATTGCTGCTCCAGCTGAACTACTACATGAACTAATGGAATAAATGAATGCTGTGTGCCGTTCTAGTGGCGCTGGTTCCACGGTCATTAGATTGCTGGTGCATTTCTAATGTCTTGCATGACGACTCTGCGTTTGCTGATGTGGCGTAGAGATTCTATTCTACAAACAAGAAATAGGTTTGTGAAGTTCGTTGTCTATTGATAGTATCTTTATTGTCCCGATCTTTTAGGAGTTTGATGGTGGTGCGGGAACGTTGATTTTCAACAATCTGATCAGACGCTCTTTCGATTTCCTAGATGCACGTTGATTTTCAACTATCTGATCAGACGCTCTTTCGAGTTCCCAGATGCGGAAACGATGAAGCAGTTGTTTGTTGGGGACGACTGAAATAACCCAGCATTGCCCAATACCAGCATAATTTTCATACTTCACCCCGTGCGCAAGCATACTGCAGAGCAAATTAGCCAACATGATTACTTGCTGAAAGCCACAGGGACTAAATTCCTTCATGGATGTAAACCAGCGAGCCAATGACCTGCAAGCCGCCAAAACAATGGTCGTAACCCACACGCTAAACCCCAAAATATTTCTATTCCNAGTTCTTTACCTTTAGCCATTTTTGAGACCTTCTTGTACTACGGGCAGTTGCAGAATGATCTGGTAGTTGCAAAATACGTTAACTATGGTTACTGATTACATTACTGGAACGTGCTACATGTTTCTAGTACATTCTGGAATGTTCTGGTGTGAAATATTAGTGAAAAGTTGTTTTATACGAATACTTTTTTGACCCGAAGAAGTTAACATGTTGCATTAATTTTTGTTGCATTGAGATTTAATTTCTATTGATGCTATTTTTGAATATAATGTGCCTCTATACATAATATAAATCACTTCTCCTGTTCAGTTTGTGTACTTACATACATTAAAATACGATTTTTCAAGTGTACGAATATTCATTTCCCACCACTGTATACAAGGTCCCAGAAGGATTACTAGAATTTGAAACAAGAAACAACACCAGGGGCCACGGCTATAAACTAAAAAAACAGCGTTGGAACACATCCATGCGACACATTTCTTCTCGCTTCGAGTCACCGACATGTGGAACAGCCTCCCTGATAGCATCGTTGACGCTCCGAGTATGAACATCTTCAAAAACAGACTAGACGAAGCTATGCAGGAGCATATGTTCAGTCTTAAAATGCCTAGCAAATTACGGACCAGGCAATAAGACTAGACGAAGCTATGCAGGAGCATATGTTCAGTCTTAAAATGCCTAGCAAATTACGGACCAGGCAATAAATCCAGCAGCTATCTCAATCAATCGTCAGCTATGGCAACAGGACATGGGCCTATCGGCAACAGGTCATGGGCCTATTTCTTCAACGCCGACACTTCTATTCTATGAGGTGAATTTTTGCACTTCCAGGCTATTTCTCAACAAAATGCAAGATGTACAAGCAATTAAATCATCTATTCAATAAATGGTCGCACCTCTGCCGAGAGCGATAATGCTTAACAGGCTTTCTGAAGCCGACTGTCTAGCACGAATGACACGTCTGTTGACTTTGATTCACTTCATAGAAAAATACTAACAGGGCGGGCTGACATGCTGTGCCATACTGGGACGTGACATGGGAGTCTTGGAAAACTCGTGCGTTTTCAAGGACGTCGAGATCTCTAATTCTAGTTTAATCTTTCATAGTTTGTACTTGGGATAGCAATATACTTAAATTCATTGTGACGAGGGTGCCTATTGAAAAACTTGACACGTTCGAATAAAAATTAAGGAAACGCTGGATTAAATTAAGTACGCATTTATGCAATTCCGTGACACAGTACGCATTGCATCCGAACTTCCTCAAATGCTTGCTAAAAGGCCTACCTCTTAATGAAACAAAAGGTCTTTAAATAACTGCGAAAAGTTTTTCATACATTTTAGTTATATGATAATGAATCAATAAGGTAAATTGGCAACATATACTCGGTATAACATCTGACTAAGACTGCAATAAAAACAACAGACGACACGGCGAAAGTTACAAAAACTACATATCTTTCATCATCCGTCGTCCATCTCGTCATCAGAGGAGTCGAACGCGGCCTCTTTTATCTCTCTGTATATTTTTTGGTTCTTCTGGTATGTTGCCAGCAGGTCTTCATTGAAACTCTGAGAGATGAATTTAGATAAATAATTCCAACATAAAGAGTTAATTGTCTTGATGCAGCATATTGATTAATTATTTAGTAAAAAATTCATCAAATTCATTAATACAAAGGCATGAAAACAAACATCAATGCCAACCTTCAGGAATTTGAAAGCGGCTGATGGTGAAGCAGCAACTCTGAGGACACGAGCTTTAACAGGAACACCAGACACACAATCGATGGTTGGAAGAGCAGACAGCAGCAGCTTATATGCAGACAACGGCGTCCTGATCATCAACAGACCACATTCGCACCCAAGGTAGTTCACTGCAAAAAATAATTGGTTAATTTTACTACACAATTTAATTTTTGACCGAAATTTTGATTAGAGCATGAATGCCATGCATAATATTAGTAGTCCTTACGCTATTCAATTTTACTGATACACAAGCCTACAGTGAAAACCAATAGAATATACATGACTTTGTATGCATGATTGCATTTCTCAGCATATAAAAAAAGACAATAAATTCAAAGTTTATTGCACCACTACCAAAAATACACCAATATTAAAAATAAAAATTTTAAACTAACCGAATACATAAAAAATTGGTCAAATCTACATTTCCCAACATGCTGGCATGAAGAATTTTTAATGACAACTCATTAAAATTGTAAAAATTCAAATTCATTGTGAGACAACTTCCCAAGTCCAATAACTTTCATACAATTCACTCAATCCACTTAAGTCAATATATATATATATATATTGACTAAGTCAATATATATATATTGACTTAAGTTAAGTAGTAGTCTTCTATTTCTCATTGAATGCAAATGACCAATAGAACAATAAATTTGGCGAAAGGTAAGATAATGTTCAAAATTCAATCACATTACAGCCTTGATTGGATAGGTTTGATAAATGCAGCAATATCCAAAATGAAGAGATTATAAATTTCGTGATTACTGTGGTAGTCACCAAATATGTTTTGGAAGAGATTGCTTCAAGTGCTGCAAATTTGACTTGAGAATACATTGTTAGCACGCTGGATGTAGCATCATAGAAGTTAGACAGATGAAAATGCTTGCCACTTGAACTGAAAATCAAACCACATGCAAACATTTTAGGATTCTAATGGAGAGATAATTTCCCCACAATCACTCCTAATGCTGCATCTCACAATCATCATTAGATCAAGAAACTGCAACCTCATCAGCACAAATATTGATAGAATGCAATCGGATAAATGCAATTAATGTAGCTGCAACATTTATGTAAATGTCAAATGTTTGTTTATAAAGGTCAAAGAAAAAAGAATACTCAATGAATAAGAGACAGCTTGTATGTGGTCACAGTAGTCATTGAAGACTCCAGTTCTAACTTGTCAGTTTTCTTATTCCACCAGTCATGTAGTACCTATCCTACAAATAAAAAAAAGCACTTGCAGTAATAATTTGGACACGTATCTCCTTGGACAGGTTTCCTGGGTCTGGGATAAGGTTAGTTAATTCCATTAACTTAAGCATCATTTGCTACATTTGCAACGGATGACGGAGGATATTATAAAATTTATAAGAACTAAATCAGCCTCAAAATTAAATTTTCAAGCAAAATATCACAAATGGCCATCTACTGAAAATCAAGGAAGCCTATAATGGGATATAACCCCCAAAAATAAATAAATCATCCACAAAATACATTTTTTTTATCAGAAAACAATATTGGATTAAAGAACCTATATATGTGTACAGTGAGTTTCATATCTCAGAGGAAGAAGCTGGAGACCAAAAACATGTCTAATGTTTCAGGCTATCAGTTAGCAGAATCTTGACTGATTTCAATATGTACCTATGCTTAAATCTTATGCTTATACTAATTAGCTTGGACTAACTAATTATAAGGATTAACTTATAGATCTGTACTAGTATATTGGCTTCATCACCCACAAAAATAATGTGACTAAATACCGGTATCATATGATAGGCACAGCAGCTTAAAAAAATACCATACTTCCTTTTAATCCAGCAATGGACATTTGAAAACTTCAAATAGTGGCACCAATGAGAATTTTTCAATGAATATTTATTTAACTGAGAAAATACCACTGCATTAATTCTGAAGAGCAAGGTTGGACACGCAAGCAAGTGTAATCAATGCTAAGCCTTCAAAGTTTGTGCTTTTGTTTGAAGCTTTGTCTTGTAAATAAATAAGGAAGGCATACTTGAGCACACATCCTTAATACAAGTGGCGTAAATACCACTTTTAAATGAGGCTGCCGCAGCGCTATGGCCGCCGTTAGAGCATGAGCGCCATGTAGCTACATCTGTTGGGAAGCCACAGACGATATTATGGGACCATCCTATTGGGTCTACATCAGTTTATGAGATTTCAAAATGCCTTGACCTACTGAGAATCCTGCCCACTGCGAAGTGCATGTGTTTTTCTCATGTGCTCAAAGCTTCAAATCAGTTGACATTCATTGCCAAATCAGGGAAATGTCTGGTGAGAACATTATGAGTGATGGAATGGTGTGGAAATGGTTTAGGGCCTTCAAAGATAGCCATACAACATTCATGATTGAAACAAAATGGGAGCTCTACAGTCAGTAACGATGTTGTGATTGAAAATAGGACTGTAAAGTGAAAGAGAACTGACAATTCATGATTTTGTCCTTAGCTGAATGGTTTCCTGCTGTCTCAAAAAGTGTTCTTCACAAAAATGTCTAATCGAGGGGATGGCTTCTTTAACAATGGCATACAAAAACTAGACCCCAAGATATGGTAAATGCCTCAATATTAATGGGAATTATGTAGAAAAGTAGAGTATATTTTGTTCTTTCAAGGAAATGACTTATTTTGGAGAAATTTCCATATTTTTTATGAAACAATGGTATGTAAATCCTGTGTTGAGATATTACCTTGGAATGGGTTAATTAGAAATTGAAGGTTACATAAAATCAGATAGATGTAAATTTTATCCAATTAAGTTGACTCCACTGCAAATATCAAACTTGGTTGAAGGTTAATCATGGGTACTTTAGTCTAAAAAATAACAATCAGTAATTGTGATGATTGCTTTAGGATGACAGGATGCAGGATGACAGAATTTATAATGGTGTAATTTGGAATGGTGTGATTTAGAATGGTGAAATTTGGAATGGTGCAATTTAGAATGGTGTAATTTGGAATAATGTAACTTGGAATGGTGTAATTTGGAATGGTGTAATTTGGAATAATGTAACTTGGAATGGTGTAATTTGGAATGATGTAACTTGGAATGGTGTAATTTGGAATGGTGTAACTTGGAATGGTGTAATTTGGAATGGTGTAACTTGGAATGGTGTAACTTGGAATGGTGTAATTTGGAATGGTGTAATTTGGAATGGTGTAATTTGGAATGGTGTAATTTGGAATGGTGTAATTTGGAATGGTGGAATTTGGAATGGTGTAATTTGGAATGGTGGAATTTGGAATGGTGTAATTTGGAATGGTGGAATTTGGAATGGTGTAATTTGGTATGGTGTAATTTGGTATGGTGTAATTTGGTATGATGTAATTTGGAACAGTGTAATTTGGAATGGTGTGATATGGAATGGTGTAATTTGGAATGGTTTAAATTGGAATGATGGAATTTGGAATGGTGAAATTAGGAATTAAGAAATTTGGAATGATGAAATTTGGAATGGTGTAATTTGAAATAATGGAATTTGGAATGGAATTTTGGAATTGTGAAATTTGGAATGGTGTAATTTAGAATGGTGAAATTTGGGATGATGAAATTTGGGATGATGGAATTTGGGATGATGGAATTTGGGATGATAGAATTTAGGTTGGTAGTATTATGGGAAACCCCATTTCATGTGCCTTGCAAGGAAGTAAAATTTTTCCTGCCAGCGGTTAGGAAAATCCTCCTTTCCTGAGACACAAGTGGCAAATTCAGGATTATGGAATTTAGGATGACGGGATGCTGGTTGACAAAATTAGTCAATTTCAGCCATTCTAGTCTAGCCAGGCAAATGACAATTTACTCTGCAAGTACCTATGCAAGTAGGCAACAAAAAAAGAGTAACAGGATTTCCTTAACAAACTGCAGCCAAGTGAAGATGAACTATAGAGATAAGTGGGAATAAAAATGATGAACCCTCTTTAGCCCCAGAGGAGCCAGTGATAAGGAATAAATACTTAATTCCATATCATAATTAGTATAGAATATGCCAAAGTGTCCTCTTCAATGAATCTTGTCTATTTATTTGTACAAGAAAACTAAACTTAAATGAATAAATTAATAAAAACAGACAAAATCAATTTTAAATTCTTTGAAATTGGAAAAAAGTTGAGTGGAGTTTGCATTGTGCAGAGGCAGCCAATTTCTCTTCTCACAATAATAATTTAAATTTTTTGTCAGTTACAATAATATTTGCCTTATGATAACAGGGAAACAAATAGATTCACATTGTAAATATTGTATTGGTTTTCATAACAATTGGTTCCAACTATTTATGGGTATTATTTTCTATTTGGGCTTCAAACATGCCAACTATGACTTGGTAGTGATCTATTATCAGATGAAGTATATATGTAGTATTTTACCACTAGAACATAAATATCATGAACAATAAAAACACATCCCGGTATTATTGATATTATTATTTACATGGTTTGTGTTTATTTTGACATGCTTGCAGTGTTAATTTGATTGTGTTTCCTTATTGTCAGTGAGCAAAATTTATCAACATAATTACATGACCTCCCTTACACCCAAGGATGTGTAAAGACGGTAGATGAAGTTATTACAGGTTTTCTTACTTAGGTTATCCTGAGAAGTTAAACAACCTCTAGACCAACTTATAATTCACTTTCTCCACTTCAATTATATTGAAAAACATTCAATGGAATTTTATGTACTCAACAAATTTATTTGCAACAAATGATGATTACTTATAAACAAAATATGAAAATTACCTTTCAATGGTTGCACCACCACTTTCCCATAATGACCATGTGTTTTAAATATGGCCTCATCAATTGCATTTTTTGGATGATTCCCTTTTAAATGAAGGAATGTGTTGCTTTTCCGACTGTCACGGAACTCCACAACAATGTACCTGAAAAAAAAAAGGCAAGAAAGCATAATATACAGCAGTAGAAAAACAAAAATGTTCATGAGACTATTTTAATTACAGTGCCAAAACCTTTACTGCATAGAGCAATTCTAGGATTGACAGTACTTTTTGGTCTTAGTGAAGGTTTTTGGTCCCCATGTGGATGAGGTACGTAGTAACAGGAGACAGGACTCTAGACCAACCAAAGTCAGGAACTTAAATAATTTAATTTTTGATGAAAGACAAATAGTCACCTAAAATTCTTATATTACATGTAAAGGTAAATTCAAATAAATAATTTTAAATACAATTCCTTTTTTAGATTTTTTATCTAGAATGAAATAAAGGTAACTTTACATGTATCAATTGTCAAAGTAGAGAGTCAGAGAGAGTTGCCATTATTGGGGTTGGCAGAGCAATACAATACAACATACACATATACAATACCATGACACAAATCACGATCTAAAAAATAAATTTAAAAATTATGAATTGAAGTCAAATCTCTTAGTCAAAGGTTGCAAAATACCAACAATAACTAACAAAATGACAATGACCTACTTTTGTAGGTTGCACAGCTACTGAAAGAACAGAAGCTAAAAAAGCGGTTGCTAAAGCCAGTAAATGTCAATTTTCTAAAAAACAGAAGTTTGGAAACTGCCATTAGATTTGGTAACTTTGCAATCAAGGAAATACAAACTATTGTTTGATTCAAGCGCCATGGTGAATTTGATAGACTTATGTTGCTTATGTTGGAGATTAAGATAGTCAAAGAAAAGGCCCACATGAGAGGGATCCTAAAAAAAAAGTATCATCAACATTTTGGTTATAGAAAATTGGGTTAAAATCAAGCGGACAAAATAATGTATCAGAGATTAATTGGTCTTTGCTCAGAAGAAATTAAAAATTCATGCATTTGGAATGATGAGAATTCAAAATCAATATTTAATAACCTTAAAAATGATTAAATATAATAATTACCTTTTTTTATACCTAACCATACTTATAGCACCAGGACCAGCTACACAGCATTAACAATATTTGATTAATTATGTAATAATTTTTAATATTGTCATCCAAGTTTAATAACCATTTCACAAGCTGGAAGAAATTAAATGTTTATTAATTTGAAGACAAGTTCCAAAGTAACTAGCTTGCTGGAAACATTAATTTAGATGATGCAAGAATGATAAATAGAAAATTAAGAATAAATAAATAAAAATAGAAAATAGAAAATTATACCTGTCGCACCATTGATAGAGAAATAAACTTTGAGTTTTTTATGTAACAATTTTATGTTAGCTTTATCTAAAGTATAGGTTTGATATCAATTTAAACCAAGGTTTTAATTTAATTCACATAGTTTAGTTTCTCAATGTGAAATATAAAAAATGTACATTAGTCCTAAAAAAGAGATTTTCAAAACAATATTTACATACCTAGTCATACCCTATGCTTTTTAAGATTATTACTTCGCGATGATTTTGTGTTTATCAACTCAAAAGTCCATTAAACAAGTTGCAAAAAATTAGTCATTAATAAAAACCTAGTCATGACAGAGGAATAAGGGAAGCATAGTACATTGACTTTTGTCAACTTTGTAATTTAGCCACTTGATATTTTGGCTCCTTAACACGTTGACTCCGAAGTGGTACATATGCATACCACGAAATGTATTTCTCCAGGAGGTAGTGGTACATAATTTAGGTTGCCTAAAATCGGCCAAATCCGAGAACAAAAAATATAACTAAGTACTCACTGCAGCAAGTGACAGAGAGCGCATTTTCTCATTGACATAAACTTGAGGTCATGGACAGACGGACGGACAGACAGACAGACAGACGGACGGACATGGCGAGCACAATAGTGCATTTTTTCTATAAATGATAAAATGCGCTAAAAAGGCCAATGTTGAAACGTTTTGAAATTAAATTGTGTTCTGAAAATGTAGTGTTATTTTCAATAACTCAATATATACTAGTTTATTTGTAGGTTCCACTATTAAAATTCCATTTATTATCTTTTTGCAGTATTTAAAATTTAACCCTTTACGCCCTGGCGTGACGAATTCGTCACACAGAAAAAAACATCGGTTTTCCAACAATTTCACGTTTTCTGTCATTTTTTCGAAAAATTCACATAAAAACTCTGGGAGGAGATAGGTTTGCAGTGACAATAAGTGTGAATGTTCAGTAGGGCGCGACAAAGTCCCGAGCCCCTCAACATAGGCATTCAAGGTGACATAGATGCAAGACTAGACATTACCGGAGCCGAAATTCAGTCAAGGATGGTGGGAACGACTGCATGAGCACCATCCCACACGACAGCAGCCGGGTAACTAAAGAGCAGCGTCTTCAGTTTGTCTATTTATGTGCCCGTCCAGTAATTTTCGCCCATATTAAATGTTAAAGAACTCCCCCACCCCTAACCCTTTCACGAACTGTCGTCAAGGCATAAATCAACGTACAGAGACGATTTTGGTACCGTTGGATAGGTCAGAATGTCAGCTTTGAAGTGAGACTTAAAACCGAAAAAGTGAATTTTACGATTTTCATCCCAAAAATTCAGGGCGTAAAGGGTTAATTAGGAAGTACCCCTATCATAAATTGTAGCTGGCCAATGCAATTGAGAAAAACTAAATCATGGAATTTTTGCTTAAAAACAGTGCAAAAAAATGAAATAATAGTACAAGATGAAGCAATCATAGTAAATGTGTTAACAGGACTTGACAAAAGAAAGGCTGGTAATGAAAAGAGAAAAAAACCTATAGGTATGTATTTTTTGGAGATAGAATTATTTGCAATAGGTCATTTTACTATTTTTTAAAATACTAGGTTTTCCAAGTACATGCATTTTTTTTAATTTTGCATAATTCAGCTTCCTAGTTAAAAAGCAACTAGTTAGCAATACCATTCCATCAATTTTTGAGCACTTACAATAGTAGAAGCCTTAAAGGTTTGGGACAAATTCCAAATTGATTAGTCTAATTACTCAATAATTATGAGGAAGAAATTGAAACTGTTTTTTTTATAAGATTGCACAATTTGAGTTTTGAAAAACAAGAAAACAGCCAGGAACTGGGTTAATTGCTTTTATACACATTTTTCCCACTAATTTGTAGTCTCTGATGGAGTTATTACTGTTTAATTAATAGATACATCTCAAGTTAATGATGCATCAACTCACTGTTCAAAAAATTGACAATTATTGGATTAAAAGTCATGGCAAATGTAATAATAGAGCTTGATACTCTTTAGCATAAAATTTTAATAATAAACAAAATTATTGATAGAAGTGAAAAAACAAAATGATAGAAGTGAAAAAAGTAATAAACCCATATTGCCCAGGTTTTTTGAATAAAACCCAGGTGAGTTGGGCAATTTAAAAAACCCTGGGTCTTTTGCAACCCTGGCCAGAGAACAACTTGATTATTATTTGAGCCTTCTTTATCTCTTGCCACTAGTCGTTTCACAGTTTAATTTCTAGATCACTCTCACCAGCTGGTTTTGTCTCTTCTGTGAAAGAAGAGACAAAAGAATTAGTTACTACTGGAAATCTTCATAAGGTGTTCACCATGCTGCAGCTCAGCAGGTATTGTCCCAGATGAAGAATTACTGCTGTGCATATTTTCTTAGGGATATCACCCCACCAATAGCCAATACAAGGTTCCAAGAAAGTGAAAGATTTTCCAAGTTTGAGTAAAACTTCCTCCTCTAGTTTGTGTAGAGTTAACACTGCAAGGTAAAATGATGGACAAATTGAAATAAGCCAAGTGGGTCCTCACACCAGCATGACCAAGTTGCAGACAAGCCACCACACATTTGTGGAGTGTGGCAAAGAGCTGTAAACCACATAATCCACTGCTGCTCCCAGGCCCAGCCTGAAGACTCCCTTTCCTGAAGCCTGCACCTTTTGTGACCACCAGCACAAGAATGCCCACTGTTCCAAAATTTGGATTTTAGCCAGTCCTCAAAGCACAAAGTGGATCTTGCAGAGTGATCATTTGAGTGTGCAAGGTTTGCAATTCTGAAAGCAATTTCATTACCAAGAATTTGGCTGTGCTCACTAATCCAACACATCACCACTTTATCAAGCCCCTTGGTTTGCATCAAGATCTGAATTTGAAAGACAATACAACTATATGAACCACCATAAATGGAAGAAATCAAGTGCAGTGCTGCTCATGAATCAGACTAGATCAGAACTGGCTTACTCTGTAGAGTCATATCCACGGTGGAAAGCTGTACTGCCTTGTATATAGCAAAAAGTTCAGCACCCAGTACAGTGTGCATTGCATTCAGTAGCTAGTTGGGTTGATGGCACATATAGGTCAGCAGAGACCAATCCAGTGGATCCCACTTCACACTCATACTCAACCTTACAACCAGAGGTGGGCAGTAGCGTGCTACATGTAGCGGCCGCTACATTTTAAGTAGCGGTAGCGGCGCTACATTTAAGCAATTGTAGCAATAGCAGTAGTGCCCGCTACATATCTAAGTAGCGATACCAGGTTTTGCCGCTACAGCGCTACCGCTACATTTATAGATAAAGCCTTTAGATTTTACTTAATAGTATTAAATATTATTTACAAACCAGCATGATACATACATAATATAAATTACAGAATAAAACTGTACGAAAGATTTCGGTGTAATGTTGTCAACATCAGCCTGCTACTACTACTAGTGTCAACATGTTAGTTGTTACTTGTTAATTTGTTACCAGTTACCACTTACAGGTATTTTTTCATGTTTCAGTTTGCTTACAGTTATTTTTACACAGTTATTTTTATGTTTCACCTTCCCTACATGGATGTCTACTTTAATCTACCAATCTCAAAAATAATCCACATATATATATATATACAAATAAAAGACTGATTTTTTATATGTATACCGGTATGTGGATAATTTTTGAGATTGGTAGATTAAAGTAGATCCATGTAGTAAAGGTAAAAAATAAAAATAACTGAAATTTTTATTTATTGTATCTAACCTGTACTAGTTCGGCTAGGTTAATTGCAATAAAGTTGCATTGATATGTTTTGAAAATGTTTTATTATCATTAAATGTTTATGAGTAAATCCCAATAGCAGAACAATAAATATTTAGAGATTTTCCAATAATTTTGACCATTGTAGCGGCTAATGTAGCGGTGCTACATTTTACTGTAGCGGTAGCGCTCGCTACAATCTAGTGGGCGTAGCGGTAGTGCCCGCTACATTTAGAGCATGTAGTGGTAGCAGTAGCACCACTACATTTCAAAGTAGCGCCGCTACATTTCAAAGTAGCGCTGCCCAGCTCTGCTTACAACCCACAGAGACTTATGAAACAAACAGTTTTCACAAACAGAAACTACACCACTAACATACTCATAGAACCAGATCAAGCCACAACAGAAACACTAAACAGATGCAAGAAACAAATACACAATACAATCACAACTAACTACATAGACAATCTACCTAACAATGCTGTTCTTTTGGCACCAGCACCCACCATAGACTCTCCAGAAACCCAATTACCCAGACACACGCCAAGCACTAGCACAACTCCGTACAAACAAGTCCCCCCTACACCAATACCTACACAAGATAGATCCAGTCACACATCCGTCCCTTCTTTGTCCACTCTGTCACAGACATGATCACAGCATCAAACACCTGTTCAGCTGCTCGGAACTGGTCACGCCCTTGTCGCCCCTGGTTTTGTAGAGCTCTCCCATCAAGGGGGCAGGGCTGTTGGCGCGCTGGGGAGAGAGGTTAGGCTGGCAACAGGAATGAGTGTAGGCCCCATCCCGCATTTTTCGCGGGACGGGGAGGGCAAACAACAACAACTGATCCAGTGGCAGCCTGTGATGCGTCAGTATAGATCTGTAGATGTTGAGGATAATACTGCTTCCAGAAGTCTTGAAAGCTATTCTGTTTAATTTGGGGTGGCATTGAGTTGACTGCAGAACTCAGCAAATCTAAGCAGATTATACAGGAAGAGGAATAGCAGATATTAACAAAGTTGGAACTCACTGCACAGATGGCAGATTCTACTCCTGAAAGCTTTGACAATAGAAGGCATGTGTAGAAGGTTCTAATGATCCACGAATCCTATCATAGATGCCATCTGGTCGCCTGCAGGGATATAGTATAATATACCATAAAATGGGGTAACTTTGACCACTTTTTTTGTTCAAAATGATGCCATTTTTTTTACTAGGTAAGTTAAACT